CCCCCCCCCCCCCCCGCATCCTTTCTCAGTTTACACACAAAATCTCAATGTGGCAACTTAAATCTTCCACAGATCTTTTATGCTGAACACTCCAAAAGCCAGACCACAAAAACCTGCATTTCTTCAGGGTCAAAGGCACTTAGGAATCACCACCTTTGCTGGCCATGACAAAATTTCATTATGAACTTCATCTTAAAGGTAAGCAATATGGTTTGACCAGAACTCACGGTAGCAGCAAAGGGATAAAAGGATTTTTTAAAATAGAGAGGCTTTAGGAAATGTTTTCTGGTAGAAAGACCTACCGCCACTTCAAAAATCTAAAAGACAAAGAGAATCAAACCTAAAAAAATCCACACCCACAACAAACTCCCAGCTTTAAAGACCGCTAAGAAAAATGAATATGAACGCTCTACAGGGTTGTCATCTGCAGCAGTCACAGAAAAACTTTAGCATATATGTTAGATACCTGTTCTTCATAGTATTTGCTAGAGAAAGTAACAGGACATCACTCAGCAGCTGCAGCCCAAACTGACATGCACCTCTGAAGAAGTCATACATAGGAGGACATACAAACACCTGTAATCTGCGTAGACAATGTATCTAAAAGAATCCTTTAGGAAACCAAAAAAGAACACTAGAAAACAGAATGGTACCAAAGTGAACCAGACCACATGCTTTTCAAACACCTACCCCTAAACAGATGACCATCACTACACCACATATACACAAACTCATATATGCCTCCAATGCTACAAGAATTCCAATTAAGATTATAAATTATATGGGTACATACTGGTTATATTAGTAGCAACTATCCAAAAATTGTGGTAAATAATTTAAAGTATATTTATGAATTCGGATATAGTTGTATTTTTTATGTAGTATTTCATTCCTGTATCAAACCCTAACAAAAATATGAATCTAAATTCTACAACATTTAAACTTGGAAAAGCTCAGAATACTAACTTAAATATTTTACAGAGATGAGATAAACTATCTGCATAGAATTCCAAGCACAAATGAATGCCATATGCTAGGTGCTTACACATATGTTATTACTTTCCCACAGGCTTCAAAATACAACCACACAATTAAAACCTTGTACAGAACTCATCACTGTAAGTAACAATTGCATTTCATTCCAAATGGAGGTAGATAAATATCTTAATCATCTATTTAAGGAAAAAACATTCTACAGGAGTGTTTTTGTGTATTTTTATACACACATCAAGAGATATGCTATAAACTCAATTTAAACAACCAATTTTTCAAGTCTGTGATTTTCAGATGTAAAGTATCGTCCATTACTACTTTAAAGTATATTTATAATCTATTCATCACACATAAATTTTGTTTTCACACTAGTAATCTGACTATTTTATCACACTTCACTCTAGACACTAGACAGATCATGCTTTCCTCTGAACCTGGTTTACTGATTTGAAACAGTGGAGGGGCAGAACTTAAAACTCCAAAAGCTGTACTTAGCTCACAGACTGGAATAACCATCAAAACTTTGTCCCTAATACATTTCCAGCAAAAATAGTCATAAAAGAGAAAAGAATGGAGGATGGGGAGAGGACCTACTCTACGATATCATGGAGAGGAAGCATGAAATAAAGCAGGAGAACAAAGCTTGCCCACCAAGTCGAAAAATTCAAGGAGAAATAATTTTCAGAAAAAAACAAATCAAAACAAACAAAACAAGTGTTGCAGGGAAAGGTACAAAATATACTGGAAAATAGGAGGATTAAAGTAATTTGATACCAGGGTAACATTCTTTGAGGAAATCTCCAAAACATCCCACAGTCTGGGGAGTTTATTAGGTATATGCATCTCTCCCTACCTGACTCCTACACTGGCCAGGTTTTATAGTTTATTTCCAAAGCCATAATTCAAAATGGCAAGGAAAACATGATTCTAGAGACTCCTTACAAAATGGTGAACTTCTGAAGTTTTTTCATAAAGAAATAACTACATCACTTTAGTTTCTATAAAAAGATGACATTTAATGTGCTGAGTAAAATTCAAGAGTTATTTAAGTTACATTGTAACTACATAAATACCAGTCTTTCAGTGTGAAGAACCCAATATAAAGAGAGATGTTACCCAAGAGTATTCCAATTAAAAAACAATTAACACCACATCAAGTTTTCCTAAGAGTCAGGTCTTCAATTCTGTAACCCAGGTTCTATGAGATATAATCTGCTATTTGCTGTCAAGATATAGAGGTGATTAGTCCGAGAGTTTTACCAAGCATGAGAAGATGCATCAGCGGGGGTGGGCTGGGTATATTTTGGATAGGAAATGGCATTTAATTTCATGTGAATTCAAATAAGAATTCATACGTGTTGGGATTTTAAATGCTAGCATTTAAACTAACCATTCCCCACCAACACACCTTGTACTAGAAAAAATTTGAAATGTAATACTTATGTCAACATCTTTAATTTTAAAAATCCAGATCTTCTGAGTCAACTTAAAACCTACACAATACCTGCTTCTAAACCTTCACATTGCTAAAATCATACCAAGGTAGCACTGCTTAAGTTCGAAATGCAGTACACTACTGCTAGCAGTAAATACAAATAAACATCCTATGTAGCAAATAAAGACATAAAAGTGAAGATGGGCTGCTACCATCAAAATAGACCATGATGTAAAGTATGTATGACCTAAAGATATTCTGGATTTTCTGAGACAAGTTTAAAATTTCTAGAAGCAAGTTTGTCAAAATAAACGTACCAAAATGTGCTGAACCACTGCTACTTTTACTTTGTATAGAGGTACTGCATGTCTGGGTCCCGGGTTGTGCTGTGCCTGTTCGATTTATACCCCTGTATAATTTCCTACAGGAGAGTTCGTCATTGTCACTGTCATGTAGGGATGGTGTCCGAGGCCTAAAATGCCGCCATCTACATGATTTGATATTGACTAGTATCTGACTGAGGTCTTTCGAGAAAGATTTGTCCGAGGTATTTGTTTCTGAGGTATTGGCAAATTGACTGATTGAAGAGTGTTGTGATGAGGAAAACATTTCCAAATCCAGCTGATGAAATGTGTTATCGTAGTCCGAATGTGCTCTGTCTAGTAGCACCCTAAAAACCAGGAAAACAATGCAGAATTATACAGTGGCAAGAAACTACAAAAAAGGCACCAGTTTACCATGTGTGCTTGGGGAGAACAAAGCGATATGAGTAAAAGAAACTACACAAAACCATTCTGGAACAAGTAACCTCCTCCCCCCTCAGAACAGACAGAAAATGCATGACTATATATTACTTTATGTTAAGTAGTATGTTTAGGTTTCTCTTCAATTGTTTGAACAGCTGATGTACATCGTCACATATATATCAAGGCACTGTAACAACATATGTAATTTTTTTTTTTTACATCAGGTTGGAATATAAAGAATTCCACAACGCAAAGAAAAAAAAAGCTTGAGAATAAAATTGCTTAAGTAACTAAAAAGTTATTCAAATGTCCTCCTAAAGTAACTTCAGTTCAAAAGCCGAACTTCCATATATACTGAATATACCTCCAACCATCCCAATGCACCGATGATGTCACACATTAGCTTCCAAAATCCCTTGCAAAATCTCAGTTCAGTTCCCATTCTGATTTTGCTGATATGCCAATCTGACTTGCTAATGTGTGAAGAGGTTCTAAGCATTAATCTGAAAGCCAAATTGTGTTCTTACATTTTTCAATTAAAGTTCAAATATTTAAGAAATAGCACTTACACACTACAATTTATAAATTGTTTCTGATAAAGATAGCTCAGGCATTTTTCTAAGCCAGACCTTAATTCTTTTATATTTCTGACAATGTTTGAAAACTAACAGTTACTGTCACTTGTAAGTATTCCTCCCAAAATTTGCCTCTACAGCTGGCAAATCACCATATATGGTCCAAACTCAGAAAAGCATTTTCTCAAAAATGTGATTTTTGCTATTTTTAAATAGTACTTGAAGACAACTATGCAAGTCATTTAAACAACAAACCATCAATCACAACTAAAAACATACATGTATTTTCACCTCAGAACTTCTGAGTACCACCAATAAAAAAATCTAGAAACATTTAAGAAAACAGTACTAAAAGTGGCTTCCACTACTCCAATATAAAAATGGAGAAAATCAATCAGCTAAGGAAATTTGTATCAAATGGAAGTATTTAAAAAGTCAACCCCCTGATGTCTCAATTTTTGAGTGTTTTGTGGTTTGTTTGTGGTGGGGTTTTTTTTTGTTTGTTTTTAACTTTGATCTTTTAAAAGATGTCTTGCTGATTGTTGTTTGGTTGGTTTTAATTATTTTTTTTAAACCAACAACAATTATGTAACACTTACCTTCCACCACGGCCGACCCGTCTTCGTGCAAGCCCAATACACCTCTGGGGTACAGTGAGGGTGGTTAAGCAGTATCTGTAACGCACATCTCCTAATCTTCCCTCTTTAGGGCTACTCCATGGCCAGTTGCCAGGTTGGTCTAAATGAGGCTTAAAATAATTTTTAAAAATTAAACACAAGATGTTTCCCCACAACAATGCTTTGTTTTATGGTACTTAAGGAAATCTACTTACAGCATAGTACTGACAGCCTGCTTTCCTACGGAAGGCAAAAGGACCATCAGGATCATTTTCTTCCTCAGCCTCCGAAGAACCAGACAAAACCTTCAAAGAGAGGATAGGTGGTATATGAGGAGAGATATTAGTAAATTCATGAGTTTTACTTCTATTCTTTCCCAAGGAGCAGCACAGAACTCTACAGGTCCTACCTGGGAGAGAGGTTCTTCATCTGAGCTAGGAAAATCATACTGATTCAAATCTTTAGCATTAAAGACTGGCAGTGCAGCAGGACTTGTCTGTTGAGGAGTAGCAGCAGCAGATGAAGGTAAGACTTTTGGCTTCTTCTCATACTTTCTTTTGGGTCTAATAACATCAGGTTTATCTTGCTGCAAGAAAAGAAAAGGCAGTGTAGAATTACACACAAGGAAATTAGATTAAAACAGGAGTTTTAGAGAACTGTGTAAGCAAGCTAAAAAGTAAACTCATCTCTCCATCATCCTGATAGCAATACAAGTAGTCATTTAATGAATATCTGTATTTCATTTCCAGTAATTGAAATGCTTAACAGGCAAGGTAGAATCAAGCACTGTTTGCTCAATCTGTGCTAGATAAAAGCACTTGTAGTTAAGATACAGTACCACTTTGAAGAAGCAGACTAAAACATATACAGTGATCTCCATGAGGTACCATTTTTATTTTTTAACATTTTAAATGAATAGGCATTTATGCAGTGTTAGGGGATTACTAAATACCAAACAATGCTTTAAAGACAAAAACAGAAGTGAGACTTCTCAAAGATACCTAGACTCTCAAAATCTTCTAAAACTTAAGCACATTTCCCCATACTGTGCAAATTCAAGTTTAAGCACATTGCCCAGGTTTCCAAGAAACAGATTTCTTTCATGCTGTCAGACACTGCATCGGCCCAGCATCACTAATAGGTAAGTACACTCCAGCAGTCTTACCAACAATGCTCTACTATCAATGCAAGTATTCAGTGATTCAAGCCACCTTGTCAGATTCAGAACAGCCTTTGGACATTCTTCAGTTAAGAAGTGTTTGTTTAAAACTCAAATTATACCTCAGCATTTCTCCTGTGTTACCTGACCTATATAATATGCTCAGTTGTTGGCACTGTGGCTAAGATTTTATGACACAAAATTAAAGCCTGCAGAAAAAAAAAGTGCTGGTCAGCTTTTGAAATTAAGTAAGATTATTTGATACTTTACTTAAATACAAAACCAGACAAAGATATACATTATGCTGGGAATATCAGTGGATCATATTTAAAAACAAAACAAAAATCAACCCTCCAGATTAAAACAATTACTTGATCTTAGAACAAGATACCGGTTTTATCTCGTTAATTCTATCATTGTCCAGTATCTGGGCAATAAATACAGTTTTGTTCAGGATATCCTACCTTTAAGGACAGTATTAAGAGAAAATTACTCATATCCCCCAGAATAAGAATATAATTGCTTGTGTCCTTTTATCTATACTTCCTTTATTTCTGCCTTGAGGAAAGCCAGTAGTCTATTTTATCATCATAACTCCCAACAGAGCATTTTGTTTTAATTGCAGCTTCGTTAGTCTATTTCCAGTTTCAAAAAGCTTCCCCCCTCCTCTTCTAAAATGCTGCATCTTGCATACATAACAGCAAGAACTAGTAACTCGGTTACTGACATTACTCACTTTAACTTTAAATTCTTTCAGTTCCATAGCTTCTTGGTGTTTAAAAGGACTGCTGTTAGACACAGGAATGATGGGAATAGCATAGGTAGGTTTAATTGGCTGCCGTTGTGCCATGACCTCAGACATGATCTCTCCACTGTAGTCACCCAAATTATACCTGAAATCAGAAAATTTTTTTTAAGTTTGTAGGAACATTTACAATATATGTCTGGTAAAAAATTGCACAACACAGAGAAACACAGACTAATACTTGCAACTTGGGGTAAAGAGACATCCAGGATGACAGCAAGAAGTACAGGAAGTATTGCTCCAGAAAAGGGGATTAATAACATGGAAACTTCATTGCGATGACTAATTCTGACAAATAAAATAAAACGATAACTACCCTGTAAAGCATCTCCAGAAGATAGTAATTTAAAGGAAAGAAGCAGAAACTAGCAGAAAAGGAGAGAGCTTCCTTACCCCCTTACAGGTACCATTTAAAAATATACATTTATGATCCAAATGGTTTTAAACAGTGCAGCAGAGTGCCTTATTCCACAATCCTGCCTCTTTTGTGTTATGGAATAGTTTCACAACAAGCAGATCCATGAAACACACTGCATTTCAAGTCTTGTGGAAAGTGCTGAGTTGAAGTGCAGTTTTTCACTCCAAGGCGGGGCATTAGAGTCTTTCCTCTATTTAGCACCTTATTTTCTTGAGAAAACTACTGGAGAATCTTTGAGATTTTTCCCTTCTCTATTTTTACTGAAAAATGGTCGGTGTTTGAAACAAATGCCCCTGCCAGAGACACTCAACTTGTCTCCATAAGAAGCCAGACTAAAAATGCAGTTTGAGAGCTTTAAAATACTGACTCAGGACATTTGTTTTCAAACATGGATGCTTAAGCTACAGAAGTCTATTCAGATGGATGTCAAAAGAAGCACTAGCTGGAAATGACTCACAAACCAGTATTTTATACTGTACAAAATGCTTATTTTCCTCAAGAGAGTATTAGATCAATCTTTCCTAAAAAAGAACTGCGATAATGAAAAAAAGAAAAATGGTAATGACTGAAAATGTCCTTAACGTTAACTGCAATTTCCTTAGTCTACGTATTTAACACAAATTTCCAAATGAATTTACCCAAAACTACAATCTCTCTTCATATATAATACGTAGGATATATGCTTACATTTGAATATACAGATGTAATAAACCAATGTAGGTTAGTGTAATAGGTCACTTTCCCGTAATAAGCAAGTTCTTAATGTTTTATTTTGCTCTCCATAGCTGTGTATGGAAATATGCTAGCCTGCAAATGTGAAAGAGTCTAAATACTTATTTTAAGAACTTCTCACTGCTGTAAGTATCTGTGGGAATCAGAATACAAAGTAGTTTCCAAAGCTTTCTGTGGTGAACTTTTATTAAACATTACCTCTTTTCCATAATTTCCAGTGTTAAATGCAGCAACTCTCTCTTGCTTTTTTCCCTCCTCTTTATCATCTCCAGGATGGTTACCGCACGACTCAGATCTCGACGCAGCTTAAGCATCTTCTCATATGATGCTTCATCATTCTTTCGATTCTGTAGATACATAGTGTATATGTCTCCCCACATCATTTAAATTAAATAATCTGAATTAAAGTTGTAAGTATTTATGTGTGCGTATGTGTGTGTGTGTGTGTGTGTATATATATATATATATATATAAAAATAAAAATCACATACTAAAACAAAGAAGCCTGTGCATGTTATCAAAGAGCTACAGATTACCAACACTGTACGTAGGAGGTCTGGCAGTAGATGTAGTGAAAAATTAATACAAACATTCATTCAACAGCTTTCCTAAAGTAGTTTCTTTTATGTTTTGACCCTTGCAAATTAGAACAAAAGAACACCCTAACTTTTACTGGTTTATTCTACATAGCAGAATTGTTTCTTTATGTAAGATAGTTTTTGAGAGAAGGAGAAGGAGAGCAGAGGGAGATACTGATCTACTTACTTTTCTTGTCTGCATCTTTTCTGTTCGTCTTCTAAAAGCAACGTAAGGGTCATTTGTGCTGGAACCATCTCGCTTCTCTTGTTTCACTGCTGGGATAAGAGAAGGACCTCGACAGTTTTTCCTCTTTTTAATCCAGTACTCATACACTTCTCTGATCAATTCGTCATCTTCCTTCAGCAACAGCTTGGCCTCTTGCAGGCTGACTGGCTAAATGTAAAACCCAGCATGTCACTTTCACATAGTAAATACAGAATGTGTAATTCAAATTCTTTATTCAAAGTACCATTGTACCTGCTGACCGCTGCCCTTTTCTAGTCTGTCAATCATCTCCTCAAATTGTAAAGGAGAGATGTCCATTCTTTTCTTCAACTTATTCACAAAGATCTCATCTTCCGAATCCAAGTCATAATCCGGCTGCTCAGCATCTAAACTAAAGGCTAAATGATACAGTGAAAGTTAGTTTTACTACAGAAATGTTTTGTTCCAATAGCAGTGTCTGGAGATTTTTCTAAAGACAAACCCAAAATTATTTCTTTGAATGTTGTAGTAAGACTACTTTGAAATTATATCTAGTATTTTATTGAAAAAAGTTACACCATTAAAAATAAATCACGATTAAAAGTTGATTATCTATCTGACTATGCTTTTGTTAACCAATGAAAGCTTACTAGTAGTCAAACCAGCTAGTAGCTTTCTACCTCACTGCTTTCAGTAAGAATTTTTTAGACTAGTCATAATTTTCAACACTGTCTAGTATTATGCATTTTTATGTATTGTATTCAACAGTTAAGACTTCAGCCCAAACACACTTCAAAGCACTTCTACAAAAGTACGTGCAGACTATATTACAATGAACTTACACATATTCTCATCAATGATCTCTGTGATGCAGATGAGTTAGACTAAACTGGCCCAGCATGGTTTACCCTATGTAGCAAGGGATCTTCACATACAAGTTATGTTTTGCAGAACACAAACAACTGTTCTGTTTTCCACAATATGCTATGAAAACAAAGCATTCTGCATTCAAAACAAAATCTCCCTAGTTCTCATGCCTTATTCAAGTTGGTTCAAGAGACACATTTGTAAGAGACACAAATTTCTTCCCAAGTACACATCTGGAAACACATTGTGAAAAGAATCACTTGCTTTTAGTAAATAAATAGGTAGAATACAATGCAGCTGAAAATCACCATTTCAGCTGTTAGACCACTAGATATGGGAAAGAAGAATTAAAAGGTATAACCTTAATATCATCATGGAAGGCTGCCAGTATTAAGTCTTTTCATTTGCTCAGGAGCAGAGCAACATGCTCTAATCTACCTCATCTTTCACTTACTCACTGCAGGGGAGTTGAACTAGATGACCTTTAAAGGTCCCTCCCAACACTAGTTATTCTATGATTCTAATACTTTAAGCCATCACTGAAGCTCGGACTGATATAGAAGACTAAGATTTAACTGAATTAGGCATGAGATGCATTTACAGAGCATCAATACTACTTTTAAAAATCTACTAATTACACCACACAACAGAATTCTGCAGCAGATCATTTTTTATAATGTTTTCAAAAGTTATCTGAAGTAATGCGGTGCTCACATCAAGGGCCATGTCCATACAGAATAGCTACTATTTTCTGAAAAAAACAAAATCCCAACCCACTTGCAAGTCATCGGTGATACAAAAAAAAGTACCTACTTTTAGATGTAGAATACTTCCAGCTGGCATAGGCAAATACTACTACTGCTGCTATTTCTGTTTGGCTTCCCAATCCATTCTACTATCATATTATCCTGGTTAAGCTTCAGGGGACAGGTATTCTGTTTATTAACTATGTATTATATATGCTCCTCTTCAAGTATATTTGTCTGTCCTTGCTAACAAACCTAAATTTCCCTGCAAGCTCTAACTACTGAGTGTTAAAGAGGACAGAAATGGCCTTTGAAACTGCTAAATTTAAAGTCTTAACACACAGACTCAAGAAGGATATCTATTTACTTCTTGATCAAGAACTAAATAATACCTCTTCAGTAAGATGTACTCCTTTACATGATGGAAAAAAATTAATTCTCACAAGTCAGTCTTGATGTAAGCTCAACAGACATTTAGGAGCAATCTCTTTAAATAATAGCAAAATAAAGTTCTCTATCTAGACTTCAATGAATGAGTTACTTTACTTACGTTGTATGTGAATCAGCTGCTTTGGCATTTTAAATTCTCCAGGATATATAGATTCATAGTATGCAATGTTACTTTCTGCTTCTGGAACTGGTATAACCATGTTATCCCTCTTCTCTCCATATACTTGTTGTGCTGAGATAGCCCGCTGGAGATGATGTTCCTAGAATAAAAAAAAAAAGTAAAGATGAAAGTCTGAGAAAATATTTTCAGAGCTGATTTTTTTTAAGTTGAAGGAAGCTTATTTCTTTGCAAATGCTCTCATTCCAAATCCCTGAGACCAGACCTAAGAAATCAGTATCATACCCTTGATTCAAAATGCACTCCACAAACCAGGCAGCTTTTCCAGTAGGTGGAGCTCTCCCTCTTACACAAACACACACACCACACACTAAACTTAGCAAGTCAAGTTGCATGTTCTTGGCACATCAAACTACATAAATTCATCTTTACGTATTTCTGGACAGACACTTAAGATTGATTAGACATACAGATTACAACAATGAGCTGCAGACAGTTATTCACTGTGGTATTATTCCATATTTGCTACAGCCATTTATTGCCAGTGATGTCAGAAAACCAGAAAGAAGGCCTGCCATCATCTCCTATTAAGAAAAGCAGCAACTATTTTTACACAGACAGAAAATTATTCCTATGGACATTCTCATTTATTGCAATGCCTTCCATTATCCTCCTTTTTCACCTCCTATTCCATCAAATAAATTTTAATAATTATAAACCACAAGGGTGAGAATAATTAAGCTTGAAAGACAGTTGCAGATTGCTAAAAGTGTTAAATGTGTTACTACAGCCTAACACATTAGTAACGTTAGAAATTCTAGTAATTTTCCAACACCACTATTCAAAAACATTCCATTCTTGCTGTGATGCTGTCAAGACAGCAAGTAGTATCGGCAGAGTTCATAGAGTTACCAACAAAGCTCCACACAGTAAGATATGGACATAAATATAAATGGGTATTTTTACCCTAGTACCAAAGCTGGTTTCTGAAGTTTCTATACTGTTCCTTCCTAGGTGCTCAGTAAACCAGTGCCTCATCTGTTGTGCTGATACAGCTGTCAGTAGGTGCTATAAACCAATAAACCAAATTACTGAAATAACTCCAAACAGGAACTGCAGCAAAAGCGTGGCAGGGATAACCAGTTTTAATACCGAAGTACAAACATTTCAGTGTTCTTATGTATGATCTTCTTAGTTTCAAGGTATAATTCTGCTGCAAGGATTCACAGGATTTTAGCCTACATTTATCTTCAAAGGAGCTTCAGAGAGACTTTTTCACATCTGTCCCATTAAAAAATTTCTTCATGAAAAGAGACTAATATTGAGAACAGGACATATCATACAGTTGTGAGTAAAACTCACTGGATGAATTCTGATCCTCTAGCATTTGTTAAGTGCAGGCACACATGTCACTTAGGAGGTGTAGCACCTAAATTCTTTCTTGGTATGGTACAAAATAATTTCTTTTCTGCCTTTTAGTAAAGACACCTCGATTCTATGTAAACAGTAATAATTCTTCAGGATTTTGTCCCAACAGCTACAACTGTTGCAAACTAAGGAATTAAGCTTTATTTCCATATAGTAGGATTCTATGTCAAACACATAACAATAGCCAATATTTTTTGAATAACAGCAAAGACTTACTGTTTTTATAATCATATGAAGAATTCCTGGTGTGATAATTCCAACTAGTGTTTTCAAACATAAAAAACCGCTTTGTTTCAGGGAAAAAAAGGGGGCTAGAAACTAAATTAAGATTTCAGTTTCTCTGATCCATATCTGATATGGAAATGGTCACTGCTAGTTAGTACCAATAGTCCATACTTATTTCCCAATAGGCTTCAGTAACAAATATTTAAAGAATACTCTTGGAACAGAAGCACAAGTCATAGTTTTGCCCAACTTTCATCCCAATTACAAAAATACTCAGTACATAAGCAAGGATGTTAGTAGACTCACATTATTATAAAAGCAACTGGATAAAAGTTCCTCCACTGAAACAGGTAAACTGATCAGCTCTTCATACCTGTTTCAAGTCATCACAAAAGACATGACACTAAATAAAAGAAAATAAGCAGACCAGGGAACTTCCCCTTTATGGGAGGTTACATGCACCAAGTTCTCACTTATTTGGACAGAAATCAGCAACAGCAACTTTGCCCCATCTTCAACATCCCAGCTGGCAGCTCAGCACATCTCTGTCTCCTGACTACATATAATCATGTGTGATTTGGTAACTCTGGAAGCACTCATTTTTAACATGAAAGCACATTAAATACCTACAATTAACTAACCTATTACAGCTTACAGTTTCTATTCTGCAGTCATTCTCCAATGTGATTGCACAGCTGGTTACTCCCACCCAAACGCAACACCTCATTCATCAGAAACCATAGCTTTTCATCTAAAAGTGCAGTGGTTTTCTCAGCTTGTCAGATGATTCTGAATTCCAAATCCTAATCAAACATGCTGACCACCCTCCTTGATTTAATATGTAGATGCTGTAGTCCAAGTCCCTTCCCAAAACACCAAAAGACATTTAAAAACAGATGTCCTCAGAAATTTAACAAATTGACTGTTCAAACATTCCCAGATACAGTTTTACAATCAGATATATTTTCACTATACAACAGTTTCTACAGTATTTTATGCTCACTGCATAACAGAGCAGTATCAAAAAACCTTTTTTAAAAGCCAAGATGCAGCTATCTACTAGGTCCCTTGCCCTGCCACAGAAAGAAATTAGACTGGATTAACTGGGGTTTATTCTTGAAAAACTCATATTAGTAATTTACATATTCCTCCAGGAACTGTAGTTAAGCTTGCTTATTTGTAACCCTCTAGCTTCCACCTTTTACAGGGTTTGGGTTTGAGGGTTTTTGTGGATTTTATGTTGGTGGGGGGGTTGGGGTTGTTTGTTTGTTTTTAAAGAAGCACTGTTGCAGTCCCTTTTCCCCTTCTCCTCTGGGTCACCATCTGTCCCTCAGAAGTTCTCAAATAGCTGTGAAATTATTTCAGACTGTTTCTTTAAATTCCTAGCATGAATTTTAGGTGGGTTAGTCAAGCTCAAAGTCTGTAATTTGTCATGTTAGAAGGAAACTCAGTTAGCTCCCACCACAAGGTGCAGTCTTGTGCCCCTTGATGTCATTCTCCGTATTACCACTGCCTTATGCCAGACTGAACCTATGATGACAGTTTAGGGAAGCAAATCCATGGAAAACCATCTCCCTCCCATTATTTCCCCTAAGAACCCTTAGAAACAATTTGTCTGACAAATTATCTCCTTGAACTTCCAGGGCAGGTGGAAGAGGCACTGGGGAAAGGGAGGAAGAGAGAAACATTATTTTCTTTGGTAGCAGCTAGCCATTAACCTGGCTTAGCTGCATCACTAAACTAAAAAAGTCTTTTTAAAATAAATATCAAGGGCAAAAGAAATGCTATGGCAGCCTAGTTCCTCTTTTCAGACAAACCTTTCAAGTAAATATTAAATGTTTACATATTATTTGTTCCTATTCATCAGTTTCCACTTCCAGTGCATTCAAATCACTGTGTTAAGTTATCCTTCTTATTGAAACTACATTGGAATAGCCACAGTTCTCTTACAAAAAAAACCTCAGTTCTAACTACTGAAAGACACAGGAGACTTTAGAGTTTCTTTCTCTCTCAACCTGATTCCCTTGGATCTTTCACACCTACCCTGTTTCGCACAACACATACTTATTGCAGGTAGTTTACTCTCACAGAAACTGCCTTCCACTTCTAAATTTAACTACTTTCAACCTATTAGTCAGGCTTATATCCAGAAAAGCTTCCCTCTTCAGTTGCTTTCTCTATCTGGACATAAAAAACTATAAGAAATACAACTCTGGGAGTTGGTTGTGCTGTGAGACAAATTTGATCCAGTACTTTTAGTATCATAGTACTGTTTGTACCCTCTACCTTGTACTAGTGATCATCCAAATTTGTGTTTAAAGCTATTCAAAGAAAGAGTTAATCCAAAACCTAAAAAGCTGCTTGCGTGTGTTGTCCGTTCCCCCCGCCATTTTCTATCAGTTTAGCTTCCTACATTGGCTCATCTTGTTGTCAGACAATCCCAGAGTCAAAGGGTGCAGTTGGAGCACTCAGCCCAGAGACAGAGGGGGCCTGAGGAAAAGATCAGCTTTACCACTTTTTGCAACATCCAACCAGTAACATGAAACTGCAACCTTATTCATCCCACTATATTCCTGTCCAGTAAAGTATGCAGACAGTTAAAATTCCAACACATCTCAGACTACCCTGCTAGTTGTTTAAACAAAACAAACCACTTTCCTCCTTTAGAATTTTTCCTCCAATTAGTCTACAGGGAAAGCCCTCCAAAAACATCAACCCTTCTTCTGACTACTCAGGAATGTAGCAAGGCCTGGTGTACTTAAAACTTCCTAAGAAAATTATATATCAACACCATTCTTTGTTCTGTAGTCTTTCTTTCTATTAATTTTAAGATACCAAGTTTATCCCTTGTATCCACTCTTACTGTATTGGTATGGCCATGCATGTTCCAAAACATCCAAGAGTCAAAAAATAATCTAAAGCAAATTGGTAGCAACAGAAGCACAAGGAAAAACAGGAACACAGCTGAGCGGGTCTCACTGCAGCCTGCAGGGACTGGAACTTCAGTTCAGTTATACTTCGGGGGGGGTAACAGAACCTCTCTCAAATGATAATGCAAGGACACTGGTGTAATTCTTCAAGTTTACTACTTACATACTTCTTGCATTTTTAGCATACTACATGAAAAAAGCTGTATTACACAGTAATTGGAACATAAAGGATGCTATAATTGTGGTGGAACCCGACTACAAGTAGGCACTCATGACTGCAAGCAAAACCAAACAGAAGTGCAGCAAGTGAAAGCAAGCAGTATTTGCCTTCTTCCACATTTTAGTAATACTTGATGATGAGTTTTTGGCAACATGACTGCTGGATTCCAAGTTACTTACAGTTTCTCAAAGAAAACTGGCACTGGCAGAGCACAAAAATTTCTTTGACGAAATACTCACTCTGCAGCATAACTTGGAGACTATATTCAAAGTAAAATAATCACAACACAACACATTACAAGACTAAGTGACCTAATCCTGTCATTAACAGTTGAACAAA